TGACACATTTCTAATTAGCCCTCAGACCCTGCAGTCCTCTTATTCCCAAATGCAACAGCTGGGTCATTTCATGATCAGTAATAACATTTGTAGCTCCTGCAGTTATCCTTCAAAATCCAGGTCATTCCTCTTCTGACTTCTGATGGGACCACAGAGGACATTCTCACCCCCTCATTCTGGGGCAGAGGTTTGACCTCTGGCCCTGTGGTTGGGGGAGGAGCCAGCTGCTCCTGAGGAGGCCTGGTGAGGGGACCTGGGTTACTCACCACACTGGCCCACACTGACCCTAGATCCTCACTCCCTTTCTCTGGGTTCCAGTTCTGCACCCATCTCTCATCTATTAACTGTTCTAAGCACTGGGGAGACTGGTGAACGAAACATGCAAGGACCCTGCCCTCATGGCACTTACACTCCAGTGGCAGAAACTGATATAAAAAGCCACTGTTTGGGGGCCGGCCAGTGGCGCAGCGGTTAAGTGCGCACGTTCCACTTCGGCAGCCCGGGGTTCGCCCGTTCAGATCCCAGGTGCGGACATGGCACCGCTTGGCAAGCCATGCTCTGGCAGGCATCCCACATATAAAGTAGAGGAAGATGGGCGTGGATGTTAGCTCAGGGCCAGTCTTCCTCAGTAAAAAGAGGAGGATTGGCAACTGATGTTAGCTCAAGGCTAATCTTCCTCAAAAAAAAAAAAAAGCCACCGTTATCAGACAAATAGGAAAATGATGACTGCTAAGAAGACTCTGAGGTTGTTTCAAAGAGCCAGGTCCTTGCCTCGATTTATAATGGTTTATAGAAACTTCACTTATAAATAACTTTTCCTTAGATCCACTGGCGCATTAAGTACGGTCAGCTGGCAGTGGGTAGCATATGTGCCACTTGATGTCTGGGTGACCTCTGTGGACCTCGTTCTCTTCATCTGTGAAATGGAGATGGTCCTGCCTTCCTCACAGGATCATTGTATTCTGAGATTGTGTATCGGCACAGTGCCTGTTGCATGGTAATTTAAGTTCTATTCACCATCCCTGCTTCCTTTCCTGCTTAGAGCAGACATGGGGGTCTAATCAGTTTCCTTCACCCACTTTCCGGATCCCTGCTGCAGCTGCAGACAGGGCAAGAGGCTTCCAAGCTGACCCAGAGTCTCAAGAGTAAAGGGTATGCCAGCAAGAATGGATACCCTGGAGCCCTGCACTCTGCCTGTCCCCGCTCCCCACCTCCAGTCCACTCAGCAGAGGTTCTAGAAGAGGCAGCCACTCATTTATGGGGCAAGACAATCATCCTTGTTAGCCCTTGAATGTGGCTGAAGAGGCCAGTCTGAGCTCTGTTCTCCTTGGCAGCTCTGAGGAGCAATCCCCTGTGTATGCCCTGGGCAGTCCCCCTTCCCCCTGCACCAGCAGCGTGCCTGTGAGTGGGCCTCCAGGGGCCTGGGGCGGTTACCATGCACTGGATTTTACATGCTTGGTTTCATGCTACCCTTCTCAACAATGCTGCAAGTTAAGGGCTGTCAATGCCTCATTTTACACTTGAGGAAAGTGAGGCTAAGAGAGGGTAAGAATTTGCCCAAGCCACTCTCCTAATGTGTGACAGAACCAGCATTTGAATTCAGGTTGTCCAACTCCAGAGCTAAGGTCTTACACCGAGCTGTACCCTTTCTTTCCAGTTAGCCACCCCATCCCCAGAACCCCCACAGCAAATGCACAGGGCCAGAGAGTTTCCTCTGGCCTCTGGGAGCGCCTGGGGCACATGGCACTTTGGCCAGCTTACCTGAGTGCTGGCTTCGACAGCTTTAACGGAGAAGGGGACCATGTCTGAAACCTATGCCACACGAGAGAAAAGGCCCAGGGAACTGGAAGTCCACAATGGCACAGTTGGAGGGATCTCAGTGTTGTCTCTTTGCGTCCCTCCTTGTACAGAGGAGAACACAGAGGCCCAGAAGGTAAGTGAGGTCCCTGCATACAGAACTTCTGTCCACCCTGCAGACTGCCCCGTGGCCTCAAGCCCTGCACCAGTGCCCGGACACTGGCGTGAAAAAGAAACTTAGACGCAGCCCGCCACTTCCCTGCTGTCTGACTCTCAGCAAGCGAGGCTTCACTGGACCTCGGAGACCTCGTCTGCAGGCTGTGGGCGCTTTAGAGACAATGTGTGTGAGATGCCGGCACAGCAGCTGGCACCTGCGAGGGACTCAGTGAACTGTAGCTATTATCATCACTCTTGTTGTTTTCGAAGTTTGATGAATGTTAGGCAACACGAAGTCTCTTAGGTGTCGCTTTGATTCTATGGTTCTGCTGGAATCCATTCCTAGGACCAGAGAGGAAACAATGTTCACTGTCATCGCTGAATGCTGAAATCCATCTCCGGGAAGGCTGAGGCTCAGCTCTGCACCTATTTGGGATTAGAATCTGGAAGAAAAACCATGGGTTGTAGCCGAGGTAGCAGCTGCTGGTTCCTGGCTCTTCCCGTCTGCCTGAGGCTGGAGCCCTCCTCCTGGAGCCATCAGAAACCCTGGTTTCAGTTGGCATGGCCCAGCTTCACCACTCATGCTTAGGGGTGAATTTGGAGCCTCTCCTCAGGGGTTGATGTGATGTCTTTGGATCCCACATCCTCTCACCTGGTTCTCTCAAGACCAAAGGCAAGCAGGCCCGCATAGATCAGGCTGGGATAAGGGGAGCAGCCTATGGCAACAGAGGGCCATTCCCCAAGTCTTTCCACTGGCTGACCTGAGAGCCTGTGTGGCTGGGGGGACACCAGGAGGGCAGGCCCCTTACATTTCCTTGTTGTCTGGAGGTACCTGTGAGGCCTGACTGCTAAGGAGCAAGGTCTTCCGGCCTCCCCCAGAGGACGTGACCCCAGGGTTCGCCTCATGTTTCCTGTGGAAACTAGGCAGTGGCTTGATGGTGGTTTTCTCCATCTATGCAAATGAACCCTGGCCCTGACTGAAGTCTAATTAAACTTCCCAGGCAAGAGAGACCTGGGACAGCAAGGCTGGCCCGCTGCTCAAGGGCCATGGCATCTCGTCACCCATCTCCTATTTTTCCTGACTGCCACACAGCTCATGCCTCAGATTCCCTGCTTTTACAGATGGCTTCGTGAGACCCTCTTTTATGCATTCCCTTCTTTCTAGGGCCACCTTCTTGGTAGGGCTATTTTTGCACTTGCCTAGGTGTCCTTGTGGTTAGTTTTCTGAGGGAGGAAGAGGGGACTGCACTTGCAAGGATGACCTTTCTGTAGCAAAAGGCTCATTAAGGTTTTCTTTCTTCATTTCACTTCCCTCCAACAGAAATATATTGAGCATCTATTAGATGTGTGGTTCAGCGAGTGCTGGAGAAACGGGGGTGGGGTGGGGAATGAATGGTGCTGTTGGGGGTGGTTGTGGGAGGGCATGAGCTGTGACCTCATGTCTCTCTGATTCTGGAGGCGGCTTCATTTAGAGGCCAGACCCTACGTAGGCCTTCAGATGAGCCAGCGTCCAGTAGCACTAGCAGGAAGCAAACTCCCTGCCAACTCTGGCCCTGGCATTCAAGGGCCTCCTGAGTCCAGAGTCCCCCAGCATGGCCAACTTCAACTCCCACCAAGTCCTTCCCAGCATCCTGGGCCCCAGCAATGCCAGGCAGCTCTCTTCCTGAACACAAGTACATACTTCCATCCTCTGGACCTTTTTTTAAAAAAAATTCTTGCCGGCCAGCCCGGTGGCACAGCGGTTAAGTGTGCACATTCCGCTTCCGTGCCCGGGGTTCTCCGGTTTGTCTGGTTCAGATCCCCGGTGCGGACATGGCACCGCTTGGCACACCATGTTGTTGTAGGCATCCCACATATAAAGTAGAGGAAGATGGGCATGGATGTTAGGTCAGGGCCAGGTTTCCTCAGCAGAAAGAGGAGGATTGGCAGCAGTTAGCTCAGGGTGAATCTTCCTCAAAAAAATAAATAAATAAAAAAATTTTTTTGCTGAGGAGGATTTGCCCTGACCTAACATCTGAGACAATCTTCCTTATTTTATACGTGGGTCACCGCCACAGCATGGCTGACGAGTGGTGTAGATCCATGCCTGGAATCCCAACCCTCGAACCTCAGTCGCTGAAGCAGAGCGGGACCAACTTAACCACTACATCTGCCACGGGGTGCCGGGGCCCCCCCTCTTCTGGACCCTGCTCTGGTTATTCATGCAGCTGATACCCTGCCCTGCCCGCCCCCTTCCCTGCCTTTTAAGAATCTACTCAAAAGATTTATCCACCTTCTGTGAGAAGCCTTCCCTAAGACCCCCTTGCAATGCATTCTTTCTTCCCCTGTGATCCCTGCTTCATTTATTGAGCATCTATGCACTGAGTGTCTTCTCTGTGCCTGACCTGTGGGGGCCTCCTAGAACTAATTTAGCCCACAAGCCTGCTGTCCCGAGTGAGAGTAGTTCACACCCATTCTCAGCGCCTCCAGGGCTGGGGCAGACTCCCAATGGTTTCTCTGTCTTTGTCTCTCCCCACAGTGTTTTGCACTTAGTTGAAAGTGTCAGATGGAGAGACGGTTCTAGACTGGGCTCTGCCCATTAATTAGTCGTGTGGCCTCGGGCGACTCTTCCAGCCTCTCTGGCCTCCCTTCCTCCTGATGAAATGGTTATGATGATACCTCAGAGTTGTCCAGGGGACAATGAGGAGGGATACAGGGAAGCGTCATGAAAGCTGGGAGCCCCAGGCCAATGGAAGACGGAGGGGTGGTGTACCCCATTCTCCTTGCACAGGCAGTGAAACGGCGTCGCCTCTCCTTCGCTCTCTTCGAATGTCAAGTGCACCAGCTTCCAATGTCTCCTCGGGCGTCTCGGAATCCTAGGCTGCAGAGAATTCCGGTGCAAACTCCAGACTCCTCCTGCCCTGCCATCCCTTCCCAAGGACTCGCCGAGCACACCTTAAACCCCGCGCCAGAGCGTAGTTCAGAGCGCAGCCCAGAACTGCAGCTCCGCGGCGCGGGCCCGGGTCGGGGTCGCGCATCTCCAGCCGGTGACTCAGGGCCACTCGGTCCGGGGTTGGGTGGAGGTAGGCGGGACCGACCAGGGCCGCGCGGGGGCAGCCGCCGGTCGCTCGGTTGCCGAGCGGTGGGAGCCGAGACTGGCTCTGGCCCGTCGCCATTCCGCCGCGGGCGCCGGCCTCGCCGGGCCTTCCTCCCGCGCCGCTCCGCACCCGCCGCGCTCCTCTCCGGTGCGCGGCGGCCCGGGCGCCCGGAGGGGCTGGAGCGCGGGGCGGGCTCTGCGCGCGAATGAATGGGCGCCCGAGGGACGCGCGCGCTTGGGGCTGAAGGGCATTAGGACCGCGAGGATCGCTGCACGCTCCTGTCTCTCCCTGTCACCCCCCCCACCCCCACCTCTCTCCTTTTTCTGCTCTGCAGGACTGAGCAGCCAGGCGCGAGCGAAAACAAACAGCTGGGGCTGCGAGCGCCCCCGCCCCGGCCCGGAGAGCACGCCGGCCCGGGCCCCCACTTAGGGCGCCCACCCGCCCACCATGAGGAAGATCCGCGCCAATGCCATCGCCATCCTGACCGTAGCCTGGATCCTGGGCACTTTCTACTACTTATGGCAGGACAACCGAGCCCACGCAGCATCCTCCGGCGGCCGAGGCGCGCAGAGGGCCGGTGGGAGGCCGGAGCAGCTCCGCGAGGACCGCACCATCCCGCTCATTGTGAGTACGCCCCGCGCTCCGGGCGGCCGGCCCGGGAGCCGCGGCGCGCATCCTAGCCCCGCGCGGCTGCGGAGGGCGCGGGGCCCGGCCGGGGGCTGCGTGCCCGCCGCGCCCTGCTGGCTTTGTATATGTTGGAGCATTCCTGCCCGTTGTTATGGCAACCTCGGTCGGGCTAGCGGGCCGGGGCGCACGGATGGAGGGAGGGTGACAGCGGGTGGGGGCTGGGAGAAAGTGCTGCAAGTTTGGTGGGCCCGGCGTGCGCTCGCGACTGGGAACGTGGCGGCTCTCGGCACTGCGCCGCGGGGTCGGGGGCCGGGGGCTGCCCGCGCCTCGCCCGCCCGGGAAGGCGACTGGACCTTGCGCGCAGCGAGCGGGCGATGGGAACCGCGCGCGAGTGAGCGCGTAGGTGGCCGTGCGCACCCCCTCTCCAGCCTCCTCAGGGCAAAGGACGTGGGGTGGGGGCTCTGGGTAAGGCAGGGTCGCTAGAGGCTGCGCCCAGCTTTGCGTCCACTTCTCAGCCCGGGTCAACCTGAACCTGCTTCTTTGGCACGGAGAACTCCACACTAACACCTCACGAGGTTCTCTGGGTTCGGGAAAGGTCTCGTCCTATGCGCGCCCCTCACCGCAACAATAGGGTCCGTCATGACGAGTGGACAGCGTCTGTGCCCGGGCTCGGAGATCCCTCTCACGATGTCAGCCCCGCGACGTCAATGCGAGAGAGGAAACAAAACCCGCGAGCCCGGCGGGGGCCTCGGCGGGGCTGCGGGGGCCCAAGGCGCTCCTGGGACCCGGGCTGGGGCGTGCGGAGCCCCCGCCGCCCTGCAGAGGGCGTTCCTGTCGCAGCCTCCGCCCGGCCCCGAGTGACAGCTGTGTGTGGTAGGGGCACCTGTTGAGGCGGGAGGCTCTGGGACCCGCCGAGAGGTGCGCTCCTGCGGGCCGCGTTCTTCCGACGGGGGCGGGTAATGGGCGAGAGCCTTGGGCGACCGTCGGGACGAACTGCTGAGCGTGGGCTGGACGATCGAGAGGAAGGAGAGCAAGGCGTGGGGCCGGGGATGGGCGGGCAGCAGGGTGGCCATCCTGACGTGAGAAGATCCGGGCCTGGGGAGGTGCGGGGTCAGGAGGGCCACGGCTTGAGGGCTGGAGAACCTGAGATGGAATTTGCACAAAGGCAGCTGAGCCCCAGGACTATGGGGCGGGGGGAGGGAGGGGAGGGAGGGTAGGGAGGGTCGTGGAGGACGTGCTTTCTTATTCCCATCCTGCCCCGGATTCCGTGTCTTGTCACCCACCCAGGAAGAAGTGAAAATCCCCTGCAAAGGGACCACATTTCCTGGCTCTGCCTGAGGAGAGCTTGGAGTTTGTGGGTTTTCCTCCAGCCCCCTCCCCCAATTCCCAGATCCCTGTCTAGTTGAAGTCTCTGGGGAGGAACCTGATTAGGTAGGGTGTTCCCTCCTGGGCTGAGGGTCCCTGTCACTAGGATGCTCTTTCCAAAGCACTTGTGGATGGCTGGACAGAGAGGCTGCTGAGGAAAAAGCCTCTTGTGTAGAGACCCCAGAGCGGTGGGGTCTGGGTGGACTGACAGACTGGAGTCCAGAACCAGCCAAACCGGTAGTGGCCCCAGACCCCCAGGGAGCTTCCACACCCTGGACTCCTTCAAGCTGCCCTGTTCTTACACCCTGAGAGGGCCAGCCCTGGTCTCAGGGTGGGTGGGCCTGGGGAAGCAGGGGAAAGGCAGGCTGGCCAGATGTTCTGTCCTTCCCTGTGGTGACTGATGGGAGGAGGGTCTGAGCTGGAAGAGGAGGAGGAGGGGAAAGAGGAGGGGATGGGAGGGAAGAGAGCACAGGGATCCTGCTGCTTAGCGCCGAGGCTGGGTCTCATCATGTTTGCCTCTGCTTCAGAATCCTGACCTTGCTCTGGGACCTCTCCAGTGTCCTCTGAGACCAGCCAAGAAGGCCGCTCAGACTGAGAGCCCCAGCATGGTGTGGGGTCATGTGGGATGCGTGTGACAGTCGTTTTTCAACATCCTCTGGCCCTCTCCTTGTTCCCATGGGGTCTGACTTGCTGCTCATTAGAAGAGGTCTGTGCACTGGAAGCCCAGTTTAAAGTGGGAAGGAGTATCAGGGAGATCCCTGGGAGCTGGGGAGTGGAGGTGCAGGAAGAGGGGGAGAATGGAAGTTTCTGGGGCGTGAGCCACAGAGCCTTCTCTAGCCACTCAGGGGCATAGCCAGTTCCCTCTCTGTTCTTAAGCTTTAGTCCTGGGTGTCTGTTCTGTGGGTGCTGGACCCAGGCACACACCACCTTTGCCACTGCCTTGCGTTGTATTCCTATCTTCCAAGGTCTTTCACTTCAGCGGATTCTCAGTCATCTACCCTGTCTCCTTGTTGAATGTAAGCTGTCACCCAGGGACTGTGCGGGAAGCTTCTTGCCAGCAAGACTTAGTAAGTACTTGTTAGATGAGTGAAGTAGGATTTCTGCTCATCTCTGGGGGCAGTCCAAGCTTCATATCCTCCTAACATTTTATTCCCAGCTCCAACCTGACTATAACTAAGGAGACAGAGGAATGCATGTATAGCTTCTCCAGGAGTTAAACTCTTTGTTCAACTTAAAAGGGGCAGGTGCAGCTGAGGATTTGCTTTCTCCCTAAAATCCGTGGTTCTCCTCTCACTGGTCTTCCTGCCGTTCCAAAACATGTCTCTGTCTAGTTGGGCCAGGACGCTGCATGTGGATTTTCAGATTCTTAGGGAATGATGTGGCCAGCCCTGCTGACAGAGGCTGAGAAAATTCAGACAAGCGTCGTCACTCCCCTGGGGAATCAGAGAGCTGAGCTGGAAAAGGGAGGGTCTACACAACGGCCTGGGCCAGGAGGCAGCCCGGCCTTCACAACGTCTGGGCCATTTGAAGCCAGCCAAGTTGCTCCTGGACCTTGGAGGTGCTTATTTGGCATTGTGGGGTGTCGGCATGACAACCGTATGGCCCAGATTTCTCAGGGAGGTCCTGATTTTTAATATTCTGTCCTGCTGTCAGCCCATGTGTCACAAATTGTGATGTGAAAAATTGGTAATGGAATCTGTAGCACTAAAGGGAGATGCTGACTCCATCCCTAAATGGCTGCGTACGATGTGGCAGCTTTTGTGATTTTTCCATGCTGTACTTTACGGGCAAGGCAGTGGATTTGGGGACATCCGCTCGAATCTCCATCGATGCACGCTGCCACTGGACGCAGCTACAGCAGGAAGTGGAGCAGACGCGGCTGGCCTTCCGTCTCCAGGCCTCACAGTTGGGAAGAACATTGGTGAATGGTCTGGTCCCCAGGTTTTCCACGTGCTAATTCTGCTAATTCTCTAACAGACATAGGTGGGATGCTGGAGTGTTACACGGAATTTCACTTTATCGACATATTTGTAAAAGACTATCCATATGGGTATTTTCAGGTCAGATGTAGTTGTTTGCAACATCATCTATTTGGAACCATGGAAGTTTTAGGCAAGAGTTTTCCTAAACTGGAGTTTCTTATCCTATAATCGAGATACTGCTGAGTGACCGTGGGCAAAATACTTACACCTCTGGACCTTGATTATTTTATGTGTTAAATTTGGGTTAAATGATTTGTAAGGTTCGTTAATCCTTAGATAAGCTGACGATAGCTTCATTTCTGGAAGAGAATACATGGCTTTCTGGGAGCTCTCCTGGAGGGTGCCCTGAAGTTCGTTGCTTAGGGAGGGAGGGCACGGCCCTGTTAGGAGAAGGTCCCGCAGGACTCTCACGGCCTCGCAGGCGTCCCCGTTGTCTAGCAGAAGGAAACACAGAGAATGGCTTTTCGGTGCTGTGCTCTGAGGGCAGAGGCTTCACTCAGATCTGGATGAGTTTATATTTTATTTATAATGTATGCATTTTGGAACTCTGGGAATATGATTTGCCTAAATGACAGAAAATGATTTTGTGTTTAATTTGTCTAGGTGCCGCACACAGGAAAGAGGGTGGGGAGGGAGAGGCACAAACACCAACAGTTCCCTTCCCAAAATGTTCTGATTGAAAGGGGCTGATTTCTCATCACTGGGGTCCCATCCTGGGTCATATTGAGACCTGTCCGTAGGACTTGGGGACAGCGCAGAAGCACCAAGACTAGTGAGGGCCCTGACAGCCCAAGAGTCACCTCCCCGGGAGGCCTGACACCCAAGGGCACAGGACTAGTTGCAGTGCTGCTCATTGTCCCGATGGGTCCTTCCTCTCCCCCTGAGGGCGCTGGGCCTGGCTTTCCTCTCTGGTGGCAGCGTCTGTCGGCTCTGAGGGCAGAGGAAGCCCTTGGGTCTGGAAGCACCATTTAGGTGGATGTGGCGGGGTGCTGATAGGCAAGTGGGCCGATTGCCCGGGGACGGGAAGGTCTGGCTGTAATGGGGGAACAGCCCTGGGTTCAGAGGCGAGCCTGAAGCAGAGCAGTTTGGTACAGTTAGAAGATTGAAGGTTTATGCCCTGTCTGCTTCCTGAGGAGACTGAAACACCTTCCCCGTGAACAGGGGAGCAAAGACACAAGGTAGAGACCCAAGGTTTCTGGAAAGGAGCAGGAGCACAGCTTTCAGACGTGAGTCAATGAGGATTACGCCTGGGCAGTGGTTGATTCCCTAAATCAGATGCGTGATGCGGTCACAGACGTGTGCAGCCCGCTCTGGAAACGGTTTCGAGTGGCTTAGTCTCTCTGCTCTGAACGCTTGTGGTCTCTGATCTGCGCTCGTCTGACCTCCGGGATCGCGGTCACCTCTGTTATAGCTCCGGTGGCTGTGTTCACTGATGCTGCGATGGGTGTTAGGTGTTTTACAAGCTTTAGCTCTGAATCCCCTTTGAATTCCCTCAACAGCCTAGTGAGTTGGGTGCCATTATCAGGTTCAGTTAACTTGGGTAAACTGAGGCTTAGAGAGAGTCAGTGACCTACCCATGATCTGGCAACTAGGAAGTGCCTTTGAAACCAGGTACCCCTGCCTCTGGAGCGGGTGCTCCTGTCTTCTTTT